ATATTTATTATTAAAGTTTATATATATATTATTATATAAAATTTAAAATAAATATAAAATTTGATTGGCTAATAGGGGTGTCAGGTGTGGGTGGGTGGGTCTGGTCTATTAATAAAAATAAATCAGCTAATTTCTAGAAGCCTCCTAACTTAAGCTTGGCATACTTTTTTAGCTATTTGGTTATTGTGTTTTAGATTTCAAAACTATAATTAAAATTATTATAATGCTTATTCCCAATTTCTATAATAATTTACACATGATTAGTGCTAATCATATCCAAATTGGTAATTAAATTTTTTATGGAGACCCTATATATAGCAGCCAATTATATTTTAGAATTAATACAATTTATTTTTATATTTTTTTTATTTTTTATTATAAAATTTTTAAAATTTTTGACCAATTTTAATTGGCCAATAATAAGCAACTTATTATATAATGCTCTAAAATTATTAATAAAATATATTTTAAGTTATATAATTTATATTTTGGTTATTTATAAATTTAGTTTCTTTGGAATAATTCGAAATTATCTAATAAATCATATAATTATTGCATTTAAATATATTTTTTATTATTCATATTTTTATTGATTTATTTCAAATATTTCGCAATTATATTGATAAATTCGATTTGATTTGCTTTTTTTTAATTATTAATAATTATCTTTTAGTTTATAAATGATTTGCTATTTTGATCTGTTTAAATAGTTTCGAATTATTGTGAAATATTTTAATGTTTTTCTATAATATTATGAAATAATTTTTATAATATATATATTTTTTTCAGTAGTCATACCTTAGCTTTCTTAGCTTTATTAGGCTTTGTACAATTTCTCTAGAATATGTAAAATTTTACAACTAGGTATTTCAAAAGATAAGTGATAAACTCTAAACTTGTCGGCAGATAGCATATAAGAACTATCTCTAAATGACAAGTACTATAGCCCACATTGTTATCTAAATTACAAGTTAAGACTAACCCGGTTACTAACTTGACACCTATGTTTGATCTGCGATAGCAAAGATTTCTCTCCTTCCGGACCCCTCCTGAAATTAGATATGACCCAGCTCTCAACAGTGAACCTTGCCGCCCATCATGACCACCTTTCTCTTTTTTCAGACTTTTTCTACCTAAGCCCGACAACAAAATTAAAACCCTTATTCGCACATAAAAGTAAAAAAAATAAAGCCATGTTTATGAAAGACATAAACATTTTAGAAAAAATATACCTCATGGTGAGAAAAAAAAACTTTTCAACAAATTCTAAAATAGTCTAACATAAATGAACAAAGATGAAAAAAATGAAAAAAAAGAAAGGTAGCCATGATACACTATTATAGCCTGTGTCAGACATAAGGGTAAAAATTATATAATAATTGCAACTAATTACTATATCTCGATTGTAAATCTTCAGTTTAGCTTTTGGACTCATTCCGGGCACCGACTCGACTCGGGTATCTCCTAAATGGAGTGTAGATCTCCTTCCCGTACCATAGCACCATATTCGCAAAACAACAAAATACATAGTTGCCTTTTGCTGAGTTCGTTCTGATTTGGTAGGTGTAAACAATGCCGATCTTTTGGAGAGGGTAAGCCAAAAAGCCCACTTTTTGTTGAAAATTTTGGTGAAAACAGCAGAAAATAAAAATAAAAGGGAGACCTCTTGATACCACTTAAAAAAGAGTAAGTTACTAAAAACAACAAAGATAGCCTTTCTCCAGATAGTGCACTATTCGAATTTTGTTGGTAAGTAATAAACTCTGAACTTGTCGGCAGGTAGCATAAAAACTACCTCTAAACGACAAATGCCAGGTCTGCAGTAAATGATAAACTCTGAAACTGTCGGCAGGTAATGTATAAGAACTATCTCTAAACGACAGTTGCTATCTTACAGTCTCTTCTTTCTTTGATTTATAAGCTGAGAAGTTAGTTTTTACTGTTTTTGTTGAGTAGTTTTTTTAGAAAAATTTGGACCAAGTGATCGTCAGAAAGAGTTGATGATAAAGAAACGAATAATTTTTATAATATTATATAATATATTTCATAATATTACATTATATATTGTGTAATATTTTATAATTTATTGACAATATTCTGCCTAGACTATAATTATTGTACAATAGTTTGGGGGAGTAATAACTTATATAAGTTTACACTTATATATTTTACTAATGCAATAGCTATCAACCAGAATACAGGCCTATTTTCCAAATATCATTATCTATAGGATTTAAACTCTAGATCTGTCGCTTGAAGAAAGGGATAACTAGACCATTACACTAAGTTACTACATCTCTGGCTTTTAAATTTATATATACTGTATAAGATTTTGTTTTTATATTAATTTACTACTAGTTTATATTTTTTTGTATAATATTATATTATATAAATATTTTAAAAATACTAATACTGTAAAAATAATAAACCACAATACAAATAGGTTTAAAAATAAATAAAAGTCAAACTTTTATATACTATATATTTAGTGATAGTAACCAAACTACTCTACTAAACCACCACATCTAGTTTTTTGATAATATTAAAAATTTACTAATACGCATAATTACTGTATTTTTAGCTTCTAAATAAAAATACTTAGTATAAAATTTTATATAAGGTGAATATGGGCATTATGATGAAGTTAAACTATTTTCAATTATATAATGTGATGCATTGATCGAAATCAAATAATTTTGGTACCATCTGATTTGTCTCATCGAGCTGAATCAAATGATACCAAAATCATTCGTTTCTGATCACTACATCACGAAATATTTAAAGTTGAAATTTTTTTAAAAAATAAAAAAATTTTAACCTTGGGATATTATGATGAATCGGGATTATCTCATGATACCGTGATCAGAATCGGATGACATTTGTACCATTCGATTGCTCTCATTGAAAGGAGGCGAATGGTATAGATTTCACCCGATTCCGATCACGGAGTCATGAGATATCCTGATTTGTCATAATAATTTTAGATACAGCATTCTATGGAGAGGACATCATGACAAATCGGGGTTATCTCGCGATCCCGTGATTAGAATCGGATGAAATTTAATGAATGGTGTAAATTTCATCTGATTCTGATTATGGGATCACGAGATAATCCGATTCGTCATAATACCCATATTCACTTTATACTACAGTATATATAAACACAAAAAATTTTTTTAAGAATTAATTTATTTGTAGCCGGGGGCTACATGTAGCCGTACTATCAAATATAGTTTTTTTAGAAAAAAATTTTGCAGCTATTAATAATTAGGGTTAGGTTTAGATTAGATTAGGGTTAGGTTAGGTTAGGTTTTTTAGGGTAAAATTGCGAGAGGAGCATTTTTGCTTAGTTACACAACAGGGGTTACCCTAGTAAAATTTTGAGTTATTAAAGAATTATTGAATACGGCTACATGTAAATTATTCCTTTTTTTAAATATAGTTAAGTTTTTTTTAGGTTTGTTAATTTTTTTATGCTTTTGTTTATTATACAAAGTTTGATTATATAATTGGTAAATTTAATATAAAAATAAGAATACTAGAATACTACTCTCTTGTGAAATCTAATAATAAAGAGTAAAGAGCTATATAAAATATCAACTTTTACTAAAGGCTTTTTCAATAAAAACTTAGTCAAAAAGTTTATTAATCACTTTATTGTGTAAAATATTTAGCATTTATAATTATTTTCGTTTATTGTGTATATATTCGATATAACTATTAGATCTAACATATCCTGTCTAGTTGCTAAATCACTCATAGGTTTTTCGATTTTTTTTTGTTTTTAAAATAAAAATAATGAAGTTTTAATAATTCATGTTATTGCTTTAACAAATTTGATTTGTTACTTTTTTTTTTTTTTTTTTTGTTTAAAACTATCGACAAAAAATGGGACATATATTTGGGTTTTTCTCAAATAAAGTAGAAATTCTACTGACCACGGCCTTGACCTGGGCCGGGTGGTGGACGCATTTGTGGAGGAGGTCTAAAACCTTGAGGTGGTGCTTGGCCAGGGACGGGGAAACTACAATAAATAGAATAAATTATCAAACGTTCACGATCACGAAAATATTAAATAATAAGGAAATGTGTGCATACTTTGGAGGTATACCACGTCCTCCGGATGGAAATGGAGGAGGCCCACCGGGCTAATTTGTTTAAAGAAATATTTATATTAGCAAGAGAGATTTAAATAATTGCAGAATTAATAAATGTACATACCATTCCCATTGGTGGTGGCCTTATTCCTGGTGGCGGAGCACCTCCCCTAAAGCCTGGTGGCATTGCACCCATTACAGGTGGCATTCCAGGTGGTGGACCCATTCCGCCTCTAAAACCTGGGGGTACACCTCCCATAACTGGGGGCATTCCTGGTCTAGGAGTCATCCCTGGAGGTACTTGACCAGGAATCATTGGACGACCATATGATATGGGAGCAGCAGCAGCAGCAGGAGCTCCACCTCTAGGTTGCATCATTCCGGGAGCTGGACCACCTACACCACGAACAGGTCCAGTGAGACCTGAAAAATGAGTTAATAATGATTTAATTAAATTAATTTTTTTTTAAAAAAAATTTTTTTTTAATTGATTAAATATAATTTGTATATCACCTGCTGGTGCAACACCTTGTGGGGCACCAGGTAATCCTCTACCGGCTGGACGACCTATACCTGGACCACCTGGAAGCTAATTTTAGTCAAGAAAGTTAAATAATTATTTAAAAATGATCATTGACATTGTAAATATAATTATAAAGTACCTGAGCTAATTTTGTTTTTGAATCGTCAGCACTTGGCGGTGGAGGACCTTCTACGCTTAAGCTAACAATAGTTTCACCCCTTAAAATAACTAAACCTAATGTTCTTTTTTCCTCTTGCTCAGGTTGACCCTGAGGTACTTTTGACCCACTTTTCGGTTTGATCTTTCTAAATTCTTCACAATCAGCTAGCACAAGATTCATATGCTTATCAAAGGCGAGCATTTGACCTGTTAAAACGCGCGAGTCCGCGAGAGTTATGCGGAGTCGATAGTTGATCAAATTTAACATTTTCGAATTCTTGGAGATCGACTAAAATTAAGAAATTATGGCAAAAGATTATCGTTTCACATTTTACATTTGTTGAAAGATAAAAAAAAAATATATAAAGTTCATAAAAAATGCCCATAAATAAAAAGATAAAAAGAACGTCTTAATTAAACTGAGCTGGGAGCCACGCGAAACCTAGATCTTAACGAGAAGAAAAAATCGGACTACTACTGTGAACAATCAACCAACTCATAACAAGGCGCGAGATTTAGTATAAATACCATTTTGATCGTGTCGCGTATTCATATAGTAATCAGTGGTGTAAGATTTAAAACATCCAAATGACAAAAAAAATTTGTAATGGTTCGATTATTGTCAAATGGATATTTTATTGGGCCCCCCAAATTTTGGGACGTTAATGCCGGCAATCGAGTCACGTGATACGCCAAAAATCCAAAAAAAAAAAAAAATTATTATTAGAGTTTGGGTTAGGAGAATTCATGTAAAATTTCACGACCTTTTTAATTAGTCCACAGAAGGTAGGTTCTTAATTAAAATTTCGATTTATTTTTGGGGATTGAGAATTTGAAGTTAACCGTTAACAGTTAAGTACCTGTACTGTATGTACTGTACGTACGTGCAGGCACTCCCGAAGCTGTCGCAGATCTATTCAAATGACCAATTGGCTGCATGGTCAGGTGTAAGAAAAACTAGTATGTATCAATGACAAAAATATAAAACTTGCTATGTCATAAGCAGAGAGGTACTTACTGGTGAAATCAGTCTCAATTCAGCAATTTCAACACCAATTTTGTTGCATCGGTATGTTCGAATAGAATCTTGTTAAATATGGAATCCACTTAAGTAGATTTTAAATGCGAACTCAATAAAGAAAAATGTAGTTTAATTTCGGATCTATTTAGCAATATTGATGTTCAATTTCAGTACGCAATATATTATAAAAAATATTTATATTGACTTAATTCCAGTTAGATTATTAGAGCATGGCAGTTAAAATGACAGTTTTTACATTTGCAGCGAATTTACCTTGGCTGGCAACTATATTTTTATATTGCCAATTTTGCGACATCAAATGGACATGTGAAGCTTCTCACACATCGATATATAGAGAAATTTATCCAATTCAGGAAATTGTCAGGCCCTAAAGAATTTCAATTGCACTACGTTTATGTAATTTTTAGGATACCCAACTTATATCCAATTCAATAACGGGTCTCCAATGAGTCAAGATCAAAATCCACTCATTAAGTTGAATTCGAACCTTCTAACAAATCAAGTAGGTTTAGAATTTGGAATTTATAAAGGCTTTATTTCGGCACAACATATATTTTTGAAGCTTAGACAGTAGACTAAAACGTGAATGCTATATATCAAATATAAACCATAAAATTTGTCCAGTCGTGTAAATGATTGGCTGACAGTGCCGCGCAGCGGCACATGTCAGCCAATCATTTACACGGCTGGACAAATTTTACATATTTAACAACGCAGGACTCAATATCAGTGTTATCCGGCAATTCATGATCATAATTCTCAAGTCGTGATTGGCTAACTGAGTTTAATTCGAATAAACATGATTAATGATCATAAGAGTTTGCCGGATAACAAGAAAATACAATACATTACAATATTACAAAAAAATTTGATATTCAAATAGATATGAAGTTAATAGTGTAAATTTGAAAATAGGTGCGCACTCATATGATTACATGCTTACTTCATATTAGCATATCGAATTTTTTACACTGCTTTCCAACTCAAAATCGCACTGGCTATATATTTTTAATCTACATTGGACTCTCAATGGTCAAGAACCCAGTGACGAAGTTACCTCCAACAGCTAACAATTATCGTTATTTCCAAAGGTTTGTACAGTACTTCCAGAAATTGTGGCATGTCATGTCATTTAAATCGACGCGAATCTTTTTAAGGCAGGTCAATAAAAATGGGTCAAATGGTTTAAAAAAATGTTTTTGCATCAATCTCTAAAACTTTATCGTTATCAGAAAAATATCTGCTAATAGTTTGATATTAAGTTTGGTTTCAGAAGCCATAAATGCATCAGAATTCGCCAAAGCTTTCATATTAGAACATGCGCATAATTCTTCTGTTAAATTTTTTTCATAAAGTTCAAGTTCTTTTCGAATCTCTGAAAACTAATACATTCACAATATAAGTCGATTTCCATAAAAGTGTCAGGATTAAGAAATACAGTTCGGATGCTGCTTGAGATGGCACACCGAAAACGGTTTACTGTATCACCCAATATAGTTTCTAGGTTTATAATAAGTTTAATTTTAATCAATGTTTTTTAACAGTTTTAACTACGATATATTAGAGGTCGGATCCATGAATGTTCATGGTTAGAAATAGATGGGCAGCCGTCAATAGAAATCAAGCAAATCTACATTTGAAAAAAATTAATGCCTTAACATTCACAGCTCATATCTCGATGAAATTTAAAGCTAACTTAATGATTTAATATTCAAAAGAAAGCTTATGACCTAGGCTTTCTTTTGAACATTAAACCATCAAGATAGCTTTAAAATTTATCGAGATATGAGCTGTGAAGATTAAGGCATTAATTTTTTTTCAAATGTAGATTTGCAATTACGGCTGTCATACACAAAATTCATGGATAGTCAAGGGTTTGTAATTTATATAATTGATTTGTTTATATTCATGAATATTTGCGTGAGTATTCATGGTTACAATAATAGATCCATTTAAAATCTAGATATTCATTCAATGCTATTCGTAAACATCAAAACCTGCGAATATTTACTGAATAATGATGGATATTCAAAGGATCCAACCTCTACGATATATAAGTATATATACAGTATATATATATATATGGGGTGAGTCAATAGAAATCAAGCATATTTTTTATAATAAATTTTTTGTTACAAACTTGTAGAATTAATTTATTAGTTTTTGTTAAGTTATTCTTAAAGTTTAAAAAAAAAACTTATTAAAAAATATTTGCTTGGTTTCCATTGATTCAACCCCACTGTATTAAAATCATTTTTATCATGTAATGACATACAGGATCTAAATTTTAATTCTCTTAACAACTATATACTACAGTAATTTTATTAACTGCCTTTAAACTACGTATATTATTAAATTAATTTCAACAATTGAGTGTTGAAATAAAGTTATATTTGGTACACAAATAGAATACCTGCATATTCGAATTCAGCTTATCTATTCAAATTGTAATTGATAAGATAAAAAAAGTATAATTCATTTATCTTATCAAGGAAACCTATTTTTGGAAATTTTTGTTGCCGAAATTCTTCTGATTATGATGATCTTTTTTACTGGTACACAGATAATCTTGATCTTTAGCAAGTTATAAAAACTGCACCATCGAAATGAAGATAATTCTCTAATTCTCAATAATTCTTTCATAATGCATAAAGACGACGAATCGAATAAAACTAAAAAGTGAGCATTAATTGTAAATAACTTTGAGAATTTCAGAAAAATGATCTATCTGAAAATATTGAGTCTTATTCTCAATTTTTTATAAGAGATAACGAACTTGTCTTGACTGACAAATCTTCGGGTGTGTCATGGATTTTGCCTACTCCTATTAATAATGGTGGGAAATTACAAGGACTACCAACATCTATTGTTGTTTTACCAAGAAGGTAAAAAGGGTTATATACTGAATTTTGATATTTATTATTATTTCTAATATTATCTGCATCTTTTTTGTTCAGTACCAACACTCAGTCCCTGACAGTGTTAGACAACCGAACCAATAAGCTTTATGAAATTCCAATAACAAATAACACAATACCAGCCCTTAAATTTAAGGAAATGCAATCCGATCCAGTACCAGGCTCTCGTGAAGAAGATGAAAGTGGAAAAGGATTGAGGTTCGTTGCTAATATTTTAATCTACAACCCTTTATTAATATTTTGCTTTTTTAATTAATATTTTATTTTGTTACCGTATTAATAGAGTATTTGATCCAGGTAATTACCTTTTTTTCATTATTTAATTATATTTTTCATATGTTTTAAAAAATCTTTGATATTACAAATTTAGCTTTCCAAAACACTGCGGTCGCATATTCCAAGATTACGTACATTAATGGTGATACTGGAGCTCTACGTTACCGGTAAGATGATACATATAATAATAACTGTTTGGTATATTATATTTTACTGATATTGCTTGATTGTTTTCTTAAGTGGTTACCCGATTGAGCAATTGGCGGAGAAATCCACATATCTTGAAGTTGCTTATCTTCTTATTTATGGGGAACTTCCATCGAAACAACAATACAATTATTTCTCTCACGAAATCATGCATCATACTTTTGTACATTTCAACGTAGCTGAATTAATGGGCAAATTCAATTATGACGCTCACCCCATGGGAATGTTTATCAGTGGTATTTCTGCAATGAGCACTTTTCATCCGGATGCTAATCCGGCCTTAGCTGTAAGTGTCACTAGAGTTTGACACCGGTTTTATTTTAAACCCGGTTTAAAATATGCCGGTTCCAAACTCGGTTATTTTATTTACTAATATATATACTATATTATATATTTACTTATTAATTTTATTATTTACTATGCGTTAATATAAATTTATCAAATAGGGATCGGATCTATTTATTCGAGATGAGAGGATTAGGAACAAGCAAATATATAGACTCCTGGGTAAAACACCAACGTTGGCTGCGTAAGTTTACTATGAAATTTAACTTTCTGCATTTTTATACCAAAGATTTTAACCAGTTTTCTTTTCGTATTACATAGAATCGCATATCGTCATCGCATTGGTCGGTATGTTGGCTTTTTATCTCTTATTTAATAAAATTTTGTGTAAATCATTTAAAAATTATTTCTAATTTCATTTTATTTATTTATTTTATTTATTACAATTATCTAGAAGTTACAATGTTCCTCAAAATAACCTTACTTATACTGAAAACTTTTTATATATGCTTGATCAATTGTCTGAAAAGAACTATAAACCAAACCCAAAATTAGCCAGAGCTCTTGATGTTTTATTCATTCTTCACGCTGGTGAGAATATTTATTATTACTTATTATTTTTTTATATCTGATATAATGTAGTTTAATAATTAATTGCTTTTATTAATTTTTAGATCATGAGCTTAATTGTTCAACAGCTGCGATGCGTCACATTGGTTCGTCACTTGTCGATCCTTATAGTGCCATATCTGGTGCTGCGACTGCCTTATATGGTCCGCTTCATGGTGGTGCTAATGAAGCTGTATTGAGAATGTTAGAACAAATTGGCTCACTAGATAAAGTACCGACCTTCTTACAAGAAGTTAAGGAAAGAAAAAGAAAATTATTTGGTTTTGGTCATAGAATTTATAAGAATTATGATCCAAGAGCAAAAATTATTAGAAAAATTGCTTATGAGGTAATAAACTATATTTTAGTTTTTTTTTTTTGTTTATTTATGATGATTTAATTATCTAACCATTTTTTTAAATTAATGTTCAGGTATTTGATGTTTGTGGTCGTGAATCTCTTATAGATGTTGCAATTGGATTGGAAAAAGCTGCGTTAGAAGATGATTATTTTATAAAACGAAAACTTTATCCTAATGTTGATTTTTACTCTGGATTAATTTATAAAGCCATGGGTTTTCCTACTGACATGTTTCCTGTGTTATTTGGTAAAAAAATATTTTTTTAAAACTATATGCATATTTATAGTTAATATTTTTATTTATTTATTTGTTTGTTTGTTATTTTAGCAATTCCACGAGTTGCAGGATGGTTAGCCCATTGGAAAGAATCATTAGAGGATAAAGATTCTAAAATTTGGAGGCCGAGACAAGTTTATGTTGGACCCAGCGTTAGATCTTATGTTCCTTTGGATCTTCGAGATACTGATAATAATATTGTTGTAGCTAAAGTACAGGTAATTATTTAAGATTTTATAAAGCCACTTTGTTGTTAATAGTAATTACTATAGTAATTACTAATTTTCTTATATATCTAGCATCCATTTAGTAAGAGAACTTCTGTGGCTACATTTGATGACGAAAACAATACTCAATCAAAATTATAAATTAATTTTTCATTTTATGGAATATTTATTGTCGTTATAAAGAGTTTCTTCTACTTTTTATAATTCCGATTTTAATACATAATCTTTCCATGTAAGTTTTAACCTAAATTAAAGTACTTTTTTTATATTAGTATTTATTGTCTGAAAGACACTATGGAACAATTGTATATCTGATATTAATGTGTTAACAAATTCTGAATTTTGATTAGTTTATAATCCTAATTAGTTTTTGATTGGTCAGAAATAAATACATGCATTAAGATTAACCTGTTTTTAAATTTATTTTTATATGCTATTTTTACATACTAATGGTTTTAATTTTTACTAACATCGATTTAAAAATTAAATATATAGCTTATTTTAAAAACTAACCATTTCAAAATAACCGAAGTAAATGTCAAATTAAATAATATACTGTATATATTTAGACAAAGAAACTTCTATATAGAATTTTATAGATTGGTCAAATACAGTACTTTTTCTCTATGCATTTGTGCTATAGATCATGTGAATGTTCGGCTTTATATCCGAATTCGAAGTAAATTCGAAAGTCTAATTCGGTTCCAAAATTCTATGTTCATAATATTCTCTACTAAACGCTGGAAACGATCAACAAAAAAGAAAATTGAAACATTGCATTTAAGATTTAAACATTGAAGAACTTTGTATATACCGTTTGACATGTTATTATACTATATAACAATAAGCTTGTACTAATACTTATCCTTAATAATCAAGAGTTAATTATATGGACTAAAGGTTATGTTGCATCTTTAATAAGGTCAAACATAACGATAATAGAATTACTTTACCTTTCAAAATATTATATTAATTTGATTGGACGATCTATAATATGAAGGTTTATTATAACAATTTATTACTTGCTATATCTGATATATGCAATATACTGTATACAAAAAATAACTTTTTGTAATGATCAAAAGCTTATGAATTATTATCGCTTTAAGAAATCGACGGCTAAGTCGAAATTAGATTTAGTAAAAATTTCTTTCATTATTTCTCTGGTCATAATTGTTGGATAAGTTTAGGAGCAATTCTCCTTTTTTTCTGTACGTGTTGATTCTGAGTAATATCATTAGATTTTTGTTGCATAGATCCTGTATCCATTGAAACCGTAACCGTAACTGTTTCAGAAACACTTTTTTGAATCAATTGTACATGATTTACGTGATCATTATTTTGCCGAACATTTGAATTAGTCAAAGTTGCATCCGTTAAACTAGCTTGCGGTATATCTACAATGGATTTGTTGTCTCTGGACATTGGCACATAATCAGTATACTGTTCACCTAGCTCTCCTTCTCGAAATGCCATAACAGAACAGTATCCATCGTGTGATGCTAGCATGAGCGAATTTCCATCTGGTGACCTATATAATAATATACATAGCGTGTTGATAATCAGAATAAAAACCGTTGATACTTGAAAAAATAAGTAATTTTACCAGGACATATCAGAAAATGTTGCAAAATGTAAATTTGTTGCTATAACCAATGGAGCATACTGTTCCGTATCATATATAAACACAGAGTCTTGAGTTGCCACCGCATAAATTATGCGATATGGTAAGTCAAATAAAGGTGATGTATTACTGGATGATTTATCACTATAAGAATTGTCAGCCATGAAATAATTTGAGCTTGTTTGTAATGCTGTAGTATCAATCTGTGGTTGAAGAGTTTTTCGAGGAAATCGTAATTTATAAAATATATGATTGCATTTTACAACAATAGATGGTTTCTTATGTCCCGGAAGAAAGGCAATCGGTCTAATGAAACAAAATAGTTTATTAATTTAATCAGATATAATGAATGAAATAATGTAAAATATAAACATACTTATTTAATCTATTTCGAGCAAATAAATAAACAGTATTTAAGATTGCCGTTTCGACCTTAAGATTGATTTCATCTTTTTCGTTTTGATCATTTATTATATCAATCATAGAATTACGATATTGTCCAGCTGGTGTAAGTAATAGTCCACCGTCTGGTGTAAAATCTAATCGCCTAAAAAAAGTATTTATCATTTCGTCACAATATAGTCGAAAAATTTTTTTAGACTGCTTTGGAGTTGATGATGTCGTTGGCACTTGTGAAGGATCAGTTTTTATGTTTCCAGAACACTCTATCGCATTTGATATGGGATTAATATCATTTGAAATATCATTTGCCGCAATCTTAGGTTCAGAATTTGCTAGCACTGTGGTATGGTTATCACCATTACAATTATGTTTGGTTAAGTCATCATCTGTTTTGGTAGTGTTGTCTTCTTTTACAGAAGATTTTTGATTTTTCTTGTTTGGAATTTCAACTTTAAAGTTTTTGCTAACGTGAGTCATTTCAAATATACCATTTGAATGAATATTATACGAGTATATATGAACATTTCTAAGCAAAAAGTTGAGTTAAATAAACCATTATAGAAATATACGTGCGAAAGTTCAAATGAAAAGATAGATTAAAAATACCGATCATTGCCCTGAGTAGCAATATATTCACCAAGTGGATCCCATGCAACACCTTGAACATTACGAACATGGTCCATCAGAACACAAACACATTTTGCTAAAACGAGTCATATTTCATGATTAAATTTATAAAACGCAAACGTTATTTAAAAAAATTTCATAATTAAAGTTTTACCATCTTTCACACGCCATATCCTGGAACCACCATCCATGCATGCAGCAACAATATATTCGCCATCTGGAGACCATGCAATGTCTATGATTTCGCAAGGTGAACCTCTGTAAATCAGAAACACACATATACTTTATTTTGTTAATTATGAAAAAATTATTTGAAGCAGAATTAATGGATTATACCTTAATAATGAAATAGCCTTCCAAGTTTCGCTATCCTCAGATGTTTCATCATCAGAATCATCAGCAAAACTTTTCTTTGAATCTTTATTTTCCATAAGTTTCCATAAGCAAATAATACCATCTGTATCGTTTTATAAATAAAAATATTGTTTTTTATATATTTATTTTTGATTTTACGTAATTTAAAGGATATTTGAAATGTAATATATAAATAAACGCATACCGTCACCAGCAGACGCCAGGAGTTCACCTTTGTAATATATATATTTTAGAATTTGGTTAGGTATAAAAGAAAATTTAATTTGATAATTAGAAATTACGCGTTAAAAATTGAAAACTAGAAAGATTACCTTTAGGAGAGAATCTAGTCACGTTAACAGGTGCGGTATGGTGTTTTAAAGTTGATAAAAATATTACTTGAGGCAATTCCGTTTGATTTTTAACTAGTTTCCACATCTATTATCATATTATCAGGTTTAATATTATTAATATCTTTAAGTAATGTTATGCCAAACATTTTTTGAAAAGTTTACTTACCATGACTTTATAATCCATACCTGCAGTTGCAAACCTGCCGGCTTCTCCTGGCTGAAAATGGATAGAAAAGATAGGTAATGTATCTTTGTGCCAGTGAATCTGAAACGTTTTAACTTTCATCTTTTCTTGATATTAAATTAAAACTTTATTATAAAAAGCGTACAATATTTTGACGCGTCAGTTATTTTCTAAGTAGCTCGTAACACATTATATGGTGACTCGGAAATGCTTCAATTGGTCAATTATTTACAGAAAAGTGTAACATTTCACAAAATTCTCATCAAATGAGAATCAAAGTTAAGTTACTTAGAAGACAAGGTGAAAATTTTTTATTGGCAAAGTATTTTTAAGTGCCCCTTTTTTAAAAAAATTAACTTGGAATGGTCTAATTTTACAAACCTACAATTGAGGCACCTTATTAACTATTTCTGTATTTGGCTGGCATTAATATCCTCACCCTAACTCTAACCATAATTTAGGCCAGTTGATATCTGAGGCACAGCAAATATATTTGATTAAACTTTTTTAATTATTATTAAAATTTACTCCCGACCTGTTTATACCGATTGACTAACAAGTGTCTCAATTAATGGGTCAAAGTATGAGGGCTATTCAGTAGAAAGGGGGGAAAAAGCTTTAGTAACTTTTTTTTAAAATTTAAATTAAAATATCTTTAAAACTACCCAAATTAAATTTAATAAAAATTTTTTATAACTATATATAGAGCTAAAATAATAAAAAAAAGCTATTAAATTTGGTTTGGTAGTTGTTGAGATATTTTAATCTAAAGTTTATAATATAAAACTTTTACTTAGAAAACTCTCCCTTTCTACTGAATAGCCCCATATATCGGGAATTAAATTTTAATTAACGGAAAGTATTTATAATCGAACAATCTAGCTTGTCATTAAGTAAGAAGGTAGTTTATTACGTGAAAGAAAAAATTTTAAATAGTAAAAAATGAACAATGAATTTACCAGTTCAGTCAAAAAACTTTATAAATATTGAAGTGAATAAAGTATTGCTCAAGCGTTTCATACTTTTTATTATGGATTTTCATTATCGACACGCATTTTTGTAAATTTTCGATAAACTATTTAGAATCCTCTCAAGCAGTGATTTGAGATCTTAATTTTAATCTATCGTTGCAATTGAGCATATTAGAAAATCACAGTAATAGTATGCTAGAGCATATCTCAATAATATCGTCATTCGTATGACTTTTATCCAAAATATTATACCCTTAATTTCATTAATTTATTTGATGAATAGAGATCTTCTATCAATAGATGTATTTATCTATTCAAGTTTACCATTCACTTCATTTTATTCGTGTTGGCTAATTAATGAATATAGTATAAAGATCTTTTATTAATCTGAGAATTTAAATAGATTACAGTATATTCATTGACTTGGTTTACTTAAATTTTTCATCAACGTTTATTTTTCCCCTTTAGTTTCATTTACTTATTTTAATTTAGTCAGCGAGTATAATGAGTTCATAGTATTTTACTATTACAATAACATATTTAAAGTTGGCAACTTAATCAAATTTTCCGATATTTTTATATATTGGAGGTTTTGCATTCGTAAACAAAATTCTTAAATTATCGAT